AATGTAATTTGGAGGTCCGCGGAGGATTTAGGCTCGAATTGGCGAAATTGGAAATTTGGAGCTTTCCCGGTCGGCAGTGGAAATCTTGATATCGGGGTCGGATCGGGATTTCGGAAATTGGAGTAGGTCCGTTGTGTTATTTTTGACGTGTGTGCAAAATTTCAGGTCATTCGGACGAGTTTCGATAGGTTTTTGCATCGTTTGCAGAATTCGGAAGTTTTGAAATCCTTTGGCTTGAATCCGAGGGTGATTTGATGTTGTTTTGAGTGTTCCGAAGGTTCGAATAAGTTTGGATAGTGGTATATGACTTGTTGGTATTTTTGGTTGGGGCCTCGAGGGCCTCGGGATGAATTCGGATGGTTAACGGAAGGTTTGGGATTTGGTTTGAGCAGCTGAACTTTGCTGCTTCTGTCATTTCTGCACCTGCGGATTGGGGACCGCAGGTGCGAGACTCACAAAAGCGATATTGGACCACATATGCGAAGAATTGGGGAGTTAAGGAAAATCGCAGGTGCGCACAAGGAACGCACCTGCGAGATCGTAGGAACGAGAAGCTGCCTATTCTAGCAAAACCACCCATCAGAGCCATCGTTAACCATTGGTCGTTAAGACGTATTCTCAAAATCCCTATATCTACAGCTGTGGCAATAGGGGCGTGATTTGGTAATATGCCAATTTGACCGCTATTAGTAGATAAAACAATTTCTTCCACTTCTGAATCCCAAACAATTCGATTAGGGGTCAGTACACTAAGATTTAAGGTCATTTCTTCAAATTGCTCTCCATTTCTAAGTTCATAGCCTTCGCGGTAGCTTCATCGATATTACCTACCAAATAAAAGGCCTGTTCAGGAAGACCATCTAATTCTCCGGAAAGGATCAATTGAAATCCTCGAATTGTTTCTGCTAGACCAACATATTTCCCTGGAGAACCGGTAAATACTTCTGCTACGAAAAAGGGTTGTGATAAGAAACGCTCAATTTTTCGCGCTCTTGCTACGAGTAAACGATCCTCTTCGGATAATTCGTCCAATCCAAGGATAGCTATAATGTCCTGAAGTTCTTTGTAACGTTGTAAAGTTTGCTTAACTCTTTGGGCGGTTTCGTAATGTTCCTCACCAACGATCCGAGGTTGAAGCATGGTTGACGTTGAATCTAAAGGATCTACTGCTGGATAAATACCTTTGGCAGCCAATCCTCTTGATAGTACGGTAGTAGCATCTAAATGTGCAAATGTCGTAGCAGGAGCAGGGTCGGTCAAATCGTCTGCGGGTACATAAACTGCTTGAATAGAGGTTATGGACCCTTCTTTGGTAGAAGTAATTCTTTCTTGTAAAGAACCCATTTCGGTACTCAGGGTGGGTTGATAACCCACAGCGGAAGGCATTCTACCCAATAAGGCCGATACTTCGGATCCTGCTTGGACGAAACGGAAGATATTGTCAATAAATAGAAGTACGTCTTGTTCATTAACATCTCGGAAATATTCCGCCATAGTTAGGGCAGTCAAACCAACTCTCATACGAGCTCCCGGCGGTTCATTCATCTGACCGTAAACTAGGGCCACTTTTGATTCTGCAATATTTTCTTCATTAATCACTCCAGATTCTTTCATTTCCATGTAAAGATCATTTCCTTCCCGAGTACGTTCACCCACTCCGCCAAATACGGATACGCCCCCGTGAGCTTTAGCAATATTGTTAATCAATTCCATAATAAGTACTGTTTTACCCACTCCAGCTCCCCCGAATAGTCCGATTTTTCCTCCACGGCGATAAGGGGCTAAAAGATCTACTACTTTAATTCCTGTTTCAAAAATAGATAATTTTGTATCCAACTGTATAAAGGCGGGCGCAGATCTATGAATAGGAGACGTTGTACTAGTATCTACAGGCCCTAAATTATCAACAGGCTCTCCGAGCACGTTAAAAATTCGTCCCAGAGTCGCTCCCCCGACCGGAACACTTATAGGAGCTCCTGTGTCAACCACTTCCATTCCTCTCGTTAGACCGTCTGTAGCACTCATAGCTACAGCCCTAACTCGATTATTTCCTAATAATTGCTGTACCTCACAAGCCACATTAATTGGTTGACCAACACTANTGCTGGTTTTAAAGGAAATAAAGAAATGAATTAATGTTTGAACTCGTTGGTATCGGGCTCGTATTTTGGTTCCGGAGCCCGGTACAAGTTTGATATAATATTTAAGTCGTATCTGTGAAATTTGGTAAAAAACGGAGGTGATTTGATGTAATTCGGACCTTTGGTTGAAAAGTTAGAAATTTTGAACTATCTTGAAATTTCATGAGTTTTGGTGTTGAATTCATAGTTGTTGATGTTATTTTGATGATTTGATCACACGAGCAAGTCCGTATGTTAGACTTGCGTGCATGTTTGGTTTGGAGCCCCGAGGGCTCGGGTGAGTTTTGGATAGGCCACGGAGTGAGTTTGGACATAGAAAATTTCTGTTGCAGCTGGTATTTTTGTTGTAGGCTCTGATCTCGCAATTCCGAGGTCAGTCTTCGAAATTGCGAGCCTAATAGGCTTGGCAATTGCGAGGGCTTTATTGCAATTGCGAAGAAGCCCAGGCCAGCACTTGTTCGCATTTGCGAACACCCTTTCGCAATGGCGAAGTCATCAGGGAGGGGCCAGTCATCGCAATTGCGACAAAATGCTCGCAATTGCGAGAGGAGCAGACATGCAGCAGGTTCACAATTGCGAAGCCTGTCTCGCATTTGCGAGCTTCGCAATTGCAAAGCTCCGGTCGTAATTGCGACATCTGCACCTGAACAAAACATCATTGGACGGGATTTTCACTTCATTCTTCAAAATTTCGAACCCTAAACATCCCTAGGCGATTTTTCAATGACTCAAACTTCTCCAAATCATAGGTAAGTGATTTCTAACTCATCTTCTTCAATCTAATTCAACTTTTTACATGATTTCACTTCAAAATCTTGGGTTTTTTATGGGACATTGGGTGTTCTTGGGTAGAAATTAGGATTTTCAAATTTTGGGGATTTGGACGTCAAATTGAGGTCGGATTTCAAAACCAATTGCATATTTGAGTTCGTGGGTGAATGGGTATTCGGGTTTTGGTTCGAACTTCGAGTTTGGACCAAGCGGGCCCGGGGTCGATTTATGACCTTTTGGGGAAAACATTAGGAAATCTATATTCATGCATTAGAATTGGTTTATTTAGCGTTTATTGATGTTATTAAGTTAATTATGACTAGATACGAGTGAATTGATGGTGGAATCGAGAGATAAAGCGGTGATTGAGCTTTGATATACCCGTTGGCTTGAGGTAAGTGTTTGGTCAAACCTTGACTTGAGGGACTAGGGATCCCCATCTTGTTTGCTATGTGAAATATCATGTGTGTGACGTATAGGTGTGGTGACGAGTACCTATGCGTCACCAAATTACTTGTTTAGCCCATTTCCTTTCCCTGTTTCCCTATATCTTGCTTTCCTGCCTTAGTTGCTAGTTGCTCATAAATGTTTCCATGTCTAATTGCTTCATGTTAACTGTTGTTCTCTTTATTGAATTGTTTAATTGTTTCATGTTAACTGTTGATGTTCCCGTTGAAGTATTATTGGTTTTGTAGCTTCATTTTATTACCCTGTTGGCTTATATTGATTCATTGGTGCCTTAGGGTGCGCCTTAGTTGGTCTCGCTGAGTAGTTTTCATTAGTGAAGTTTCAAAATCATAGTGATATTCCATTGTGTGGATTGAGGTATAAGTAATGTGGGGGATTTGAGTTAGCTTGTGAAACTCTTATCTTTATTCTTTTGTGTTTGGTGCTGATATATATATTGGGATCGGGTTGCACGCCACAACAGGAGGAATAAGGGTGAATTGTGATTGTTTGGTGGGATCGGGTTGCACGCCGCAACAAGGAGTAATAAGGGTGGACAGCTGGGATCGGGTTGAGCGCTGCAACAGGAGGAATAAGGGTGATATGTGCTGAGGAGTAATAAGGATGGACGGGTGGGTTCGGGTAGCACGCCACAACAAGGAGGAATAGGGGTGAATATTGATACTGTTGTTGTTTATATGATTGGATCGGGATGCGCGCCGCATCACTTATTGTTTTAAGTATTCATTTATGTTGAAATTGATTAATGTGATGTAGAAACACCCTTAAGGATTGTTATAGCTGAATACTAGTAGAATACTGTATTTCGGATTTACTTTATGCCAGTTATTGCTTTAATACATTCTGTATTTCCTTTCTATTTAGTGTAGACTGTTGCAGGTTGTATATGTTGTATGCCCCGCTGTAGCCTCGTCACTACTTCGTCGAGGTTAGGCTCGGCACTTACCGGTACATGGGGTCGGTTGTACTGATACTGCACTCTGCACTTCTTGTGAAGATTTTGGAGCTAGTGGCTGATCGTGAGGTTGGTTACTGTTGCTGTTTCTCGGAGACCCAAGGTAGTCCTGTAGGCGTTCGCAGGCCCTGGCATCCCCTTCTATCTTATTTTATTTTCTGTTTTATCTATTTCCGAGACAGATGTAAACTTTTGTTCGGACCCTTATTTGTAGTATTCGTAGGCTGTTCGTGAGTTGTGACACCAGTTTTGGGTGGTATTTATTATGGTTTTGTTATTAGTACAAAGATAATCTTTTAAGCTGTGTTATTCCGCACTTAATTCCGCTTATTTACTTTTGTTGAGCTTTAATTTTTATAAGATAAAAGACAAAGGTGAATTATTCAGTAACGTTGGCTTGCCTAGCGAGTGCAATGTTAAGCGCCATCACGGTCCCGACGGGTGGAAATTCGGGTGGAAATTCGGGTCGTGACAAGTTGGTATCAGAGCTCTAGGTTGCTTAGGTCTCACAATTCACTGACAAACTTAGTAGAGTCTGAGGGATCGGTACGGAGACGTTTGTGCTTATCCCGCAGAGGCTACGGAGTTAGGAGCAGTTTCACTTCTATTCATCTCTGTCGTGCGGTTTGATCTCTCAATGCTAATTGAACTCTCTACTCTGTTCTTTCGCAGATGGCGAGACCGCGTACTGCTTCATCAGCTGATCAGCAGCCCGAGCCCCCAGTGGCGGCTCCTACGAGGGGCAGAGGATGAGGCCGAGGCCGTGCTAGAGGCCGAGGCAGGGGCAGGGCTCAGCCCGCAGCTCGAGTAGCAGCACCAGCGGCGGAGCCTCAGGTTGAGTTTGACGATGAGATTCTGGCCCAGACCGTTCCAGCAGGGCCGTCTCAGGTTCCATAGGGGTTCATAGCTATCCCTGTACTCCAGGATGCTCTGGTCTGTCTAGTGGGCCTTATAGAGAGTGTCACTCAGGCAGGTATACTTCCAGTAGCACCAACCGTCTCTCGTGCTGGGGGAGGAGCACAGACTCCCGCTACTCACACACCGGAGCAGATGGCTCCCCAGTTTCAGACTCCAGCAGCTCAGCCAGTTGGGGTAGTACCGCCGGGTGTTGTGGCTCAGACCGGTGATGGAGCAGCTATGTCTACAGATCCTTTATGGAAGTTGGATAGGTTCACCAAGCTTTTCACTACTACCTATGGCGGTACGTCTTCAAAGGATTCTTCAGAGAATCCCCAGGACTATTTGGACAGTTGCCATGAGATTCTACGGAACATGGGGATAGTGGAGACCAATAGGGTCGACTTTGCTGCTTTTCGCTTATCATGTTCCGCCAAGAAATGGTAGAGAGATTTTTGTTTGGCTAGACCAGCTGGGTCGCCTGCTTTGACTTGGGATCGATTTTCTCAGCTATTTTTGGAGAAGTTTCTCCTTATCACTCAGAGAGAGGACAATCGGAGGCAGTTCAAGCGCCTTCAGCAGGGTTCTTTGACTATCACTCAGTACGAGACCAGATTTATTGACTTGGCCCGTCATGCTCTTCTTATACTCCCTACCGAGAGAGAGGTGAGGAGATTTATTAAGGGACTTGCTCAGCCTATCAGATTGCGGATGGCTAAGGAGACCGAGAGTGAGATTTCTTTCCAGGATGCAGCCAATGTGGCCAGACGAGTTGAGATGGTCTTAGCTCAGGGTAGTGGTCAGGGGTCTGACAAGAGGCCTCATCATTCTACTAGGTTCAGTGGTGCCTCGTCTGGAGGCAGGGATTCTTTTGGTAGAGGCCATCATCCCAGGCCCTTTCATTCAGCGCTTCAGGCATCCCATGGAGCTTCAGGGAGTCGTTGTCCTTATGTGACTCCTTCCGAGCAGTCAGCTCATAGTGCACCGCCAGCTCCTATCAGAGCACCTCCTCTTTAGAGTTATTATCGCGGTCAGCAGGCCCGTCAGGGTCATTCTCAGTTTCCTCAACCACAGTATTCAGATGGATGTTTTGAGTATGGTGAGTATGGTCATATCCGAAGGGCTTGTACGAGATTAGTGGGTGCTCAGTCGCAGCAGTAGAGTTCTCGTGTCATGATTCAGGCACCGCCTGCCAGCCAGCTAGAGGTATGGGTCAGGGAGCCAGAGGTAAGGGTCAGCCCGCTAGAGGTGGAGGTCAGGCCATTAGAGGTGGAGGCCAGGCCGCTAGAGGTGGAGGCCAGCCAGCAGGAGGTCATCCCGGGGATGTGGTTCAGGGTGGTGGGGCCTAGCCCCGATGTTATGCTATTCCAGCTAGGCCTGAGGCTGAGTCATCCGATGCAGTTATCACAGGTACGATTTCAGTTTGCAGTAGATATGCTTCAGTTCTATTTGATCTAGGGTCTACGTACTCCTATGTGTCATCTTATTTTGCTCCATATTTGGTTGTGCCTCGTGATGCCTTGAGTGTTCCCGTGTATATTTCCACACCGGTGGGTGATTCTATTGTAGTAGATCGTGTTTATCGCTCGTGTGTGGTTGTTATTGGGGGTCTTGAGACTAGTGTAGATCTCCTATTTCTCGATATGGTTGATTTCGATGTCATTTTGGGGATGGATTGGCTATCACCTTACCATGCTATATTGGATTGTCACGCCAAGACCGTGACGTTAGCCTTGCCGGGGTTGCCTCGATTGGAGTGGAGAGGGACTCCTGGTCATTCTATCAGCAGGGTTATTTCGTATGTGAAGGCTCGACATATGGTTGAAAAGGGGTGTTTGGCTTATTTGGCCGATGTTCGTGATTCTAGTGCTGAGGTTCCTTCTATGGATTCTGTACCAGTTGTTCGGGAGTTTCCAGAGGTATTTCCTGCAGACCTGCCGAGGATGCCACCCGACATGGATATTGACTTTTGCATTGATTTGGCTCCGGGCACTCAGCCATTTCTATTCCTCCGTATAGCATGGCCTCGCCAGAGTTGAAAGAATTGAAGGAGCAGTTGCAAGATTTGCTTGATAAGGGCTTTATTAGACCTAGTGTCTTGCCGTGGGGGTGCACCGGTGTTGTTTGTTAAGAAGAAGGATGGAACGATGAGGATATGTATAGATTATCGGTAGAACAAAGTCACCATCAAGAATAAGTATCCATTGATGAGGATTGATGATTTGTTTGATCAGCTTCAGGGTGCCAAGTATTTTGGAAGATTGATTTGAGATCTGGCTACCATCAGTTAAGGATTAGGGCATCCAATGTCCCTAAGATAACTTTTCGCACTCGGTACGAGAATTATGAGTTTTTAGTGATGTCATTTGGGTTGACAAATGCCCCAGCATCATTCATGGATTTGATGAACCGGGTGTTCAGGCCTTATTTGGATTCCTTCGTGATTGTCTTCATTGATGATATTTTAATCTACTCCCGCAACCGAGAGGAGCACGAGCAGCATCTTCGAGTCGTTCTTCAGTCTCTGAGAAACAGTCAGTTATATGCAAAGTTTTCGAAATATGAGTTTTGGTTGAGTTCAGTTGCTTTCTTGGGTCATGTTGTGTCAGCAGAGGGTATTCAGGTGGATCCGAAGAAGATAGAGGCAGTCAAGGATTGGCCTAGACCCACATTAGCTACAGAGATCCAGAGTTTCTTGGGTTTGGCGGGCTATTACCGTCAGTTTTTGGAGGGGTTTTCATCTATGCAACCCCGATGACCAGGTTGACCCAGAAGGGTGCATAGTTTAGGTGGTCGGACGAGTGTGAGGCGAGCTTTCAGAAGCTCAAGACAGCTTTGACTACGGTGCCGGTGTTGGTTTTGCCCATAGGTTCAGGGCCATTTATAGTATATTGTGACGCATCTCGTATTGTTGGTGCGATGTTGATGCAGAATGGCAAGGTTATTGCATATGCCTCGCGGCAGTTGAATATTCACGAGAAGAATTATCCAGTTCATGATTTGGAGCTAGCAGCCATTGTTCACGCGCTGAAGATTTGGAGGCATTATTTATATGGCGTGTTATGTGAGGTGTTCACGGATCATAAGAGTTTGCAGTATTTGTTCAAGCAAAAGGAGCTCAATTTGAGGCAGAGAAGGTGGTTGGAGCTATTGAAAGACTATGATATCACCATCTTGTATCATCCCGGGAAAGCCAATGTTGTGGCCGATGCTTTGAGTAGGAAGTCAGCCAGTATGGGCAGCCTTGCGTATATTCCAGTCGGTGAGAGACCGCTTGCCTTGGATGTTCAGGCTTTAGCCAATCAGTTCGTGAGGATGGATGTTTCTGAGCCCAGTCGTGTTTTAGCTTGCACAGTCGCTCGGTCTTCATTATTTGAGCGTATCAGAGATCGGCAGTATGATGATCCTCAATCTCTAGTCCTTAGGGACACAGTGCGGCACGGTGGTGCCAAGCAGGTTACAGTTGGAGATGATGGAGTTTTGAGGATGCAGGGTCGAGTTTGTGTGCCTAATGTGGATGGACTTCGTAAGTCGATTCTAGAGGAGGCCAATAGTTCCCAGTATTCTATTCATCCGGGCGCCGCTAAGATGTATCAGGACTTGCGGTAGCATTATTGGTGGAGGAGGATGAACAAGGATATTGTTGCATATGTAGCTCGATATTTGAATTATCAGCAGGTAAAGTACGAGCATCAGAGAGCTGGTGGTTTGCTTCAGCAGATTCCGATTCCTGAGTGGAAGTGGGAGCGTATCACTATGGACTTCGTTGTTGGACTCCCACGAACTCAGAGGAAGTTCGGTGCAGTATGGGTCATTGTTGATAGGCTGACTAAGTCAGCACATTTCATTCCCATAGCAGTTTCCTATTCCTCGGAGCGGTTAGCTGAGATCTATATCCGGGAGATTGTTCGCCTTCATAGCGTGCCCATGTCTATCATTACGTACTGAGGTACGCAGTTTACCTCGCATTTCTGGAGGGCAGTACAGTGTGAGTTGGGTACGCGGGTCGAGTTGAGCACCGCATTTCATCCTCAGACGGACGGACATTCCGAGCGTACTATTCAAATTTTGGAGGATATGCTTTGCGCCTGTGTTATTGACTTTGGAGGATCTTGGGATCAATTATTGCCGTTAGCGGAGTTTAATGTGGTACATGTCGGCAAAGTGTTGGTTTTGTTGGTAAGAAACAAGCAATAACCAAATTGCACAACAAGGTAATAGCGAAAGAAATACCCATGTCAAAACTTTTCATACTATTTGAACCAAGAGAAGACAACAAACGCTAGCACATATGGAAATACGGGCAACAACTATACCAAAAACAAAATATCAAAGTAAGCAAAATAAATCAAATGCAAGAGACACCAAATTTACGTGGAAAACCCCCTTCAAGGAGAAGAGAAAACAACTACGGGACCTCCGGCCCACAAAAGCTCAACTAATAATCAACAAGAGTTACAATAATGTTCTCCAAATGGCTACAACATCAACCCCAAATATGGAGCAACAATACATAAAAGATAGCACCAACACTAGTGAAGAAAGGAGAGAAATCACCCCCAAAAATGAGCTACTGTTCGTGCGCGAAAACTAGAGCTACAAATTACAACATTCAATCTTCACCGTTGAAATCCAAGAACCAAATGTTGAGAACCCCTAGTTCAAATGTGAGCACGATCCAACGGTTAATGAATTGGAAAATGCAGTTTGAAGCGGATTGTTGTCGTTGATTTTCAATGGTGCGAAAATCACCACTTCTCTCTCACTTTTTCTCTCTATATGGCTGCTGTAAAATAACTTGTGTTCATGAAATAAGACCTAAGTTCGTCATATATATAGTGGGCTTTAGGAAAAAGTGGTCTAGGTCAAAATGGTATTTTATTTATCCACATAGGAAGGAAAAAATCCTAAAAAATCCAACAATTCTCCCCCTCCCGACTATGTGGAGGAGACTACCATCCCGAAAATCATGCCACACTCTTCAAACTTCCCTCTTAGCAGAGCTTTAGTCAATATAAAAATCATTATCATCGGTGTGAATCTTCTCAAGTTCAAGCGACTTAGAATCCAGCACTTCTCTAATCCAATGATATCTCACATCAATATGTTTCGACCTACCATGAAATGTAGAATCTTGGTAAGATGAATAGCACTTTGACTGTCGCAATAAAGCACATATCTCTCTTGAGAAAAGCCAAGTTCTCCCAAATATCTCTTCATCCAGAGCAACTCTTTACAAGCTTCAATGGCAGCAATAAGCTCAGCTTCTGTAGTAGATAGAGCTACACATTTTTGCAACCTAGATTGCAAAGACACAACCTCCTGCAAAAGTAACCAAGTAGCCTGAAGTAGACTTGCGAGTATCAACATCACCTGCCATATCAGAATCAGTGTAACCACAGAGAATAAGCTTTCCTATACCAAAACACAAACTCAGAATAGAAGTGCCACAAAGATATCTCATAATCCACTTCATAGCATTCCAATGCTCTCTTCCTGGATTGGAGAGAAAACAACTAATGATACCAACTACATGAGTAATATCTGGTCTTGTACAAATCATCTCATACATCAGACTGCCAACATCTGGAGTATAATATAGTTTATTCATATTTTCCTTCTCATCATCACTTGACGGACACTCCTTCATGCTCAATTT